AAATCTCCCTGGGCGATTGGGCTCAGCGGTTAAAGCGTCAGCCCGCAGACCAGTGAGTCACGGGTTCAATTCCGGTCAAAGGCATGTACCTCGGTTGCAATTCGTTCCTGGCCCTGGTTGGGGTCATTCGAGAGGCAGCCTTTCCATGTGTCCCTTTCACATCAGTGCTTCTCTCTCTCTCTTCCTCTCTCTCCCTCCCACTCTTGTCTGAACAAAAGTGGAAGAGTGTCCTCTGGTAAGAATTAATATATAAATATATTTGAAATCCATCTTAAGGACGGAAATCACTGGGGTTTTAGTGACTGGATCCATCACACACACACACACGGGAACACGCGAGCTGCACTGTGGAGAATGCACTGAAGAGGGGCTTGGTGGGGGGGAAGCGAGTTAGGAGGCTGTCACAGTTCTCCAGGTGAGAGTGGGTGGTCCAGAGGGGAGTGGGGCCAGGCAGGTGCACGGGGGCAGCCAGACCCCACAGGTCCTGGGAGGTAGAAGCAACAGCATGCTGACCAAGCAGAAGCTGAAGGAGAGACGACAATGGCACCCGGACCACGGTGGTTGAAGCCATCTAGTAACCACTGAGTCCTCTTGCTAGAAGAAGGGGTGATGACATTTATGTTCTCCTGTCGCAATGACAGAACCGCATCAGCATTCGCCACCTTTCATTGCTCCCCCGAGCGGCTCTGCTGACCGAGACCTCGTGAGAAACTCGGGTGGAGTCAGACTTCATTTGTGATGGGACGAGACTGCAAGTGTGATTCAGAACAGTGTATTTGACAGAAAGAGCAAGTGTCCATTATCACACCTGTCCCATCGACACCTCCCCTGGAACCCCTGTGCCCTGAGGATTCCGACTGGGATCGTTTGCCCTGCTAGGGTCTGACTCGGTGAGTGACCTGAACACGGCATTGGGGGTGGGCTGTTTCTTGCAAATCCCCTCCCATTGTCCCGTCCTGTGTGTGAGGGGGCACTTTGTATCCCTCGTGTCAGATGTGTGGGTGCAGCTTGTGGGAGCTGGGTGCTCCCTGCAACTAATGGCAGGCACCTTCTCCCTCCCATCCCATCCCAGGCTCCTGTCTCCAAGCTCAGCATTGCTGCCTGGTTAGGCAGTGCAGGGAGCAGTAACAACCCCTACCCATCTCCAACTGAGGACAGATTGCCCTCCCACCCTCCTCTGGAGACCTCGAGGATTCCCTTTTCTCCCCAAAGCCTGGGGGGCACTTTCAGGCCCTTGGTAGGTAGTTCCAAGCCCAGCCCTGTCCTGGCTTTTTTGTTTCATTGCCACTAGGTGGCGCCACAGCATAGTCTTATTTCCATTCCTCGGGCCTCAAATAATCCAGATTGTTCTTTGCTTTCATTTAAAAACAAAAATTTACTAAAATTGTTTTCTGACTTTCTGATTATTGAGGAACCTTTGGGAAACACATAAAACCACAAAGGAAAAACACAAACAAGATATTAATTTAAAATTAGTAAAGTGTTGGACTTCTAAAAAATGACTTAGAAGAATACATTACGTGCACACTCGACGTTCATTTTGAGCCTTAGTTTATGGAACAAAACCTGGCGTCGTCTGGGAACTTGAAGGGGGCTCCCTCTGATGTAAAGGTGACCCTAGCACCTAGCTCCGGTCACCTGCCACCCAAGTTAATGAAGTCCCTGCCCCGGATATAAACCCAGGTTCTTACTGAATACCTAGGCACAGCTACAGAAAACAGGAACAGAACCGGAACGAATTGCTGGACGGCGGCTGCCGAGCGGGAGCCGAGGGAGCTGGGAGGGGCGGAGCGGGGAGGCCGGAGGAGTGGAGCCGACTTTGTGGGGAAAAGCATTGGGTTCTCGGGAGACCAGAAGGGCCTCCTGACAGGCCCCGGGAAAGCGGGTGGAGGCCCTTGGACGGGGTGCGTTTGGTCCTGGTGCCACCACCGGGAGCCGTCGCAGGGACAAGCCCAGACCCAAGCCCTGGTTGTGCAGCCGGCCCCCTGGAAGATGGCCTCACCCGGGACACACCGGCTGCGACATCAGATTCCTTTCTGAGCTCTGCTCAAGGTCAGTACTAAAGGGAAAACAATTGTTTTTAAGTAGCGAACAGATTTCACACACTCTCGACCCCCCCCCCCCCCAGGCCTGGGTGCCTGTGTGCACCTGCCCAGGGCGCGTCCACGCCCCGAGGTGCCCAGCGAAGAGGCCGGAGAACGGCTCGTTTTCAGAACCCGTGAACGCCCCGGTTTTCGAGGCCCTGTCTCAGGGCACGTGCGCTTTCCCTCTGTGAGGGTCTGTGTTCCCGCCTTTGCCCTCCCCCGGGGTTTCATAAATGCCACTCGGTCGTAATTCTTCTTTCTTGGGCCGGCAACTGAGCAACTCGGGTTTCTCCCCCAGCGAGTGTTATAATGTAAACAGGTCTCTATAAAAAATGTGTTATTAGTGTAATTATAAGAAAGTCTCAGGTGGCCTGCTTTTTCATCTGGAGAGGGGAGAAAAGTGTTCCAAAAGCAATGCTTTAGAATTGGGGGGCGGGGGCAGCAGACTTCAACTCCTTCCAGAAAATGTGTTCCCAGTCACGTGGAAGCCGTCAGTCCCCGCGGTTGACTGGAAGCGGCCAGGTCAGGCCCCTGCGAGGAAAGGAACATGGAAACATAGCCAGGGGGTTGCTTTATAGTAAATGAAGCCTTCAGATCCAGACTCCAGAGTACTGGGTGTCTGTCTCCCAGATCTGCAATGATTCTTTACTTGCAAAGAGTAACGAAGATTCACTGTTGTATTTGAAGCAGGGACAGTACCACCTGGGGGACAGCAGTGGTGGAGGGAGTCCAGCCACCACTGGCCCTGCCTCCCCGTCACCAGCTAAGGGACTGTAGCAGGTCCTTTGTCTGGGGATGTGAGCACCCATCCACTGGATCCGGGTGATAATTAAAGTAACCGTCAGCTTGCCGAAACCCCCGATGAGGAAGAAGTCATAGCATCGTAAAGTTAAAGTCGGAAGACTCCTTAAAAGATCATTTATCCAGTTCCTTTCTTAAGGATTAAGGGAAGACCAGAGACATGAAGGGCTCTGCCCACAGTCACCCAGCAGGACCAGGACCTAGACCCAGACCTAACTTGGAGTCCAGTGTCCCCCCACCCCCTTACACCAAGTGCCACCCCCAACAACAGAGGCATCAAACTGTTCAACCCTATGAATCCACTAGCCGAGCGGTTTTTTCTTCCACCCAAGTGGGTCAGCACATTTAATTCCATTAAAACTGTTCCCTTTCTGCTTCACTGCAGCGGAGGGAGGGTTACGGACAGCTGTTCCCACAGGGCTGATAAAGAAGGCCAAGTGCACAGCCCTGGAGCGGTGAGCCCCGCCCCCGAAACACGGTGGCAGGGTCGAGAAACGGGGGCTGTATACAGGTGCAAACTGTATTAAATGCTTCCAGTTCTAAGTCCTGGCTCTTCTAAAGGGGAAAAAATAAGCTCTAGGGTTAAAAGACAGACGTGAGGAAGGGAGGTACATGAGTAGGTTTTCATAGTCAGAACATTGAAAACGCTCAGTATAGAATTAAATCTAGGAATCGGAAAGTGCTATGAAAATAAGCCCAGTTGCTTCTCCAGGGAACGGGGTGAGCAATGAAAAGTGTGCGCAGTGGCCTTCCCAGTGCTCCCCGGGACCGGCCCTGGAGGTGTAGGGCTTTGTGCCTGGCAGGCATCCGTGGGGGGGGGTGCATTCTGCTCGAAGGGAAGGGACGGAGGCGGGTGGGGTGATTGTGTAAGAATGAGGCCTGAAGGGTGATAACTTCTGAGTCTGGGGCCTGCTGTCCTGTAGACCTCACCGCATCTTCCACTCAGTGTTGGGCTATTTCAAGAGAACTCAGTCCTTTATTTACCCTGGATGATTTTCTTTTTTCAAGTCCTTTGCCAATTTTTATTGTTAGAGGTCTCTGTGCTCCTTTTTTCCGTGGGGAGAGGGAACTGTGGAGGGGTAAGTTTAGGGGAAGGGAATCTTTTTTCCCCTCACCTATTTTAAACTGGCTTTGTTTCCCAGTGTACTTGTGCAAACTGAGTTTCAGAGGAAAATGCACAGAGCCAGTGTGGTCCCTGGGTCACGGACCTGAGGATGGGAACGATTAGGAGGCTCGCTCAGGGTAGCAGGTGTGGCAGGTGGACTTCATCAGCGTCACACCTTTCACCGTCTGTGACCCTGAACCAGGAAATGCAGAGAAGCTTTGGCCGAGCCGTTTGCTTAATAAGTGTTCCGTTTTTATGGGCTCACGTTTTCCCCTTTGCACTCGGAGGGGTGAGATGGGAAACTGTAGTAATGCCCGGATCGTTGACTTTATGCAAGACCACTGAACAACATTTACGCATCTCATTGACAACTGAGGTGTCTGGCATGCCTCTCTGGTCTCCGGTTGTTTGTATTACTACCTTGAGTACTTTTAGAAGGAAAAAAATAACCAAATGAGGCTGAGCTGTTTGGGTCACCACAGACTCACTTCCTGTTTTTGTTCATTTCCTTACCTGTCATTTCACGTATTCTGCAGTATTCCTGCGTGGGCTGTCCTGCCACCTTTAGTAGATCCGACCCTTGGGTGGGTTGCCCGCCTCTGCGTGCTCATCACTTTCAATAGCTGCGTAGGACTTTAGTCTCCTAATTCTCAGGCCCATGCCTAGCCCTTCCCCTGTTGTTCCCAGCTTTTGTGCTCTGAAAGATGGTGCTGCTGGCTGCACCTCGGTGGAAATCTGGGTCTTTCTTCCTTCGGAATTCTTGCGTGTAGAAAGTCTCTGTCCTCGGGGAGCAGTCGCTGAATGGGGAGGATGCTGCAGTGTGGAGCCGGCGTTTCTGCCCGTCAGCAGAGAAGGGGAGGCCAGTGTGACTTCCCAGGGTGAGTGGTCCCGTGGAAAACTCCAGCGGGCAGCTCACTGCTGATTCAGCGCAGGCTTTCCGGGCTCGGCGGGCTGTGCCAGCCGTCTGTCTCCTGCTGAGCTCCAAGCATGTGGAGTTTTTACTATTACAGAGAAGAGGGGAACTCTCTGCCTGTCGTCGCGGGGCAAAGCCTCGTTCTGATGCACAATGGGGTGCTTTCGGATGGAGACCCAAGGTACGGCCTCGCCTCTCTCCTTTCCTCTCGCGCTTGCTCTGTGCCTTGGTGTGTCAGCACTGCTGGGGGCGCCCTGTGTTGAAATGTTGAAACCATGAATGAAGGGTCTCAAAAATATTTAGACAAAGCAGCTACGGAAACCAGAGCTCTGGTTCCGAATGAGCCGGCCCTGGGGAAATGTGCACCTGGGAGGTTCGTTTACTCCCAGGCTGATGAATGTCTGCACACAGGACTCCTGGGAACTCTGTTCATGGAGCCTGCGTGCTTTTAGTTAGCCCCCTCCAAATATAGAAAGGTCAAGTTCATGTTTCCAGCAGTCTGGGGGGTCGGTAAAAGGATGAAGCCCATACTTACCCACTCCGGTGATGAGGAACATTACGTATCCACCCGAGTGGACTAGAAACTGCACTGTGTCCTGTCTGAGGATTTTCCACTTCTTTGTAAAGTAAGCCGACTCTTTTTCTCTGCTGGTGTTTTCTGGTTGGAGCTGCTGTAGAATCCTCAAGGAGGTCTTTTTGTATTAAATGATCACCCGAGCTTGGGCTTGGGTTATAATTTGTTGGCTCTTTGATGAATTGACTGACTTAGCCTCTCGCTGTAAAATGTGAGGCTCCAAAGAAATGGCTCTCTTACCTAAGAAGATAGGGTAATCCTGTTCCTTCCTGATAATCCACGCTGGCATTATCTGTGCTCCTGGCAGAGGTTGGAGCCTAGCTGCATGCATCTGGGAAAGGGAGATAATGGCGCTTGCCCGTATTGGTGAGGGAATGCGACACCAAGAGACAGTGTGGCCGTGAGCCCACCGGCTTCTGCAGACCGCTGGCCCATTCACCCACGCGGAAATGAACGCACTGAATCATTCTCCCAGGCTCTCGAAGTTGTTACCATCTTGCTTATCTGGCCCTGAACACGGTGATTTTGTATTTTGTGGCCAGATTTACTTTTTAAAGTCTGTAGCCAGTTGTGAAACACATGAGCCTTTAAGAGGATTTAGAGTTTTTAATTCACTGGTCTGGTGTGTTTCTTCTCAGCCTGATAATCTTGGCCAAAGTCTCCACAATGTTAAAAAAAAAAAAAAAAAAGGTTCAGGGCAAGGCAGGTTTAGCAGCAGAGGAGGAGCAACTGGAGAAGGAGGTAGAATGGGAAGTGGTAGAATCTGGCTTAAAAATACTCTGGCCACCTCTTACTTGCTGTGTTTTGTTTTGTGGGGTTTTTTATGCTAATCCTCACCTGAGGATATTTTTCCATTGATGTTCAGAGTGGAAGGGAGAGAGGGGGAGAGAGAGACATATCAATGTGAGAGAGACACATCGATTGGTTGCCTCCCGCTTGACCCTGACCAGGGCTGGGGATAGAACCTACAACCCAGGTATGTGCCCTTGATCGGGAACCAAATCCATGACCCTTGGGTCTACGGGCCAATGCTCTCACCGCTGAGCCAAACCAGCCAGGGCCTTGCTGCACCTTGTATGAATGCCTTCATCTGGACTTTGCAGAATGAATGGGATAGTGATCACTTGCGCACTTGTCAAGCATAAAGCACCACACCGGTGTTAATGATACTTGATCTGGTGATTTGGGGGAGTACCTGAAGTGGGTCCTCTACCATTTGCACCATTTGTCAGATTTAGGAGAAAGGCTGGCTTCCATTGATCCGAACTTGAAAGAAACTCAACGTGCCCACCTGTTGGGGTCTGTATTCTCACGTGTTCCAGCCTCTTCTGTGGAAAGGCCACATACAGAGGGGGACAGCAGGCACAGCTGCTTTAGAAAACCTTGTTTCTGGGGGATGATCGCCAGCCCAAGACGTTTCTAATCTGGGTCTTTGAAAGCTGCTTATTACCCTTCTCATTCCCTCCCCAGCCCCAGCCCCTGGGGGAGCCTGCCCTGCGGATCTGTGGACTGTTGCTATCTTTCTGCCGTTGGCTGATTGATTAGCACAGTCTCTTTGGAGCTCCTGGGGCCCATGGTTCTGTCCAGTAGCGGTTGTTTATCTGATGATCTGCTTGGCTCCGGCCGTTGGGCAGTTGATTTCCAGACAGTAACCCTTCATGAGCTGTTGGCACAGGAATCACACAGCTCTCCTCCCCTGACCACACTGGGGGTGAGCCACAGCTCCACCGAGGCTGTGCTGGGACTCCCCAGCTTTGAACAAACAAGGGAAAGCAAGGATGGCCTTGCAGGCAAAGTGGCATTTCCTGGAAGCATTTTGGTTGTGTTGGTAATTTTGGTTTGATGTTCAGCTGGACCGTCACCCCGGGAGATATTACAGGTATCATGGAAGTCATAAACCTCACACATGGCTGTAAATGCACCTGGCTGCTGCCCCAGGGCACCTTGCACAGTGTGTGTCGCCCAAGGCACATCTTGCTTTGACCTTCTGGCCAAGAGCCAAGGGGTCCAAAGGTTGCGCCCACGTGGAGAGTGATGTTTGATAGGGCTGGATGGGGTAGGGCAAGCAGGTGCTCTCTACCCCGCCCAGGCGTGGGAATGGCCCGCAGGCCCTCTGCCTCCAGGGGCTCTAGGAGCCGGTGGGGGGCGTGAAATAAGAGTGGAGGCAGCAGTGCCCTGGCCGGTTTGGCTCAGCGGTTGGAGCGTCGGCCTGCGGTACAGAGAGACCCGGGTTCGGTTCCCGCTAAGGGCATGTACCTCGGTTGCAGTTTGTCCCCGGCCCTGGTTGGTCGTGCGGGTGGCAGCCACTCGATGTGTCCCTTCACATCGATGTTTCTCTCTCTCTCTCTTCCTCTCTCTCCCTCCCGCTCTATCTGAACAAAAAATGGAAAAATGTCCTCGGTTGAGGATTAAAAAAAAAAAAGAGTGGAGGCAGCAATGAAAGGGCAGAGCTGAGCCGGCCCTTGCAGTGGGCAGACAGGTTACTGCTGAGGCCCTCAGACCTCAGAGGGTATGTGCATCTCCAGGGAAACACCCAGGCTGACTCTCAAGGTCAAGACTAGGGGGCTTGGTGTCAAGCCTCAGAATAAACCTGGCCCCTTATCCTTGTCTAGCTTTGTGATCTTGGACAAGCTAATTTAATATTTTTCTATGAAACGGGCTTAATGCTTCAGAGGTGTAAAAATTGCATGAGGTATATGTCAAGTGGTAAGTGATCAAAAGATGGTGGTTATTGTAACTGTATTAATATTGTTGTTATATTGACACACGGAAGAGTGAGAAGTTTGAAAGGCTAAGGAGATGGGAAAAACCACAGTGGGAAACAAAAAACTGGAGCCCTTTCAGCACTTAACATAAAAATCCAGTAATCTTCAAAACACGTCAGATCTTGAAATCCATTTGCAGCAAGTGATTTGTTAACTATTTTTTATTATTATTATTATTTTTTTTATCCTCACCTGAGGACATTTTTCCATTTTTTGCACAGAGTGGGAGGGAGAGAGAGGAAGAGAGAGAGAGAAACATCAACGTGAAAGGGACACATCGAGTGGCTGCCACCCACACAACCAACCAGGGCCGGGGACAAACTGCAACCGAGGTACATGCCCTTAGCGGGAACCGAACCCGGGTCTCTCTGGACCGCAGGCAAATGCTCTAACCGCTGAGCCAAACCGGCCAGGGCCGTTAACTATTAATAATTTTATTTCGGTATTTTGAATCATGAACTTATTCACATATACGAACAGGTGTACAGTCAAAATTCTGTTCCCCCATTTCTTCCTGCTGTCCTGCTCCTCGCCCCCCATAACATAGATACCCACTTTTAATTACGTATAATAATAACATCAGTAATAATAATATGTTTACCACTTACTACCTGCCGCACACTGTTCTAAGTACTTTGTGATCATTACCTTGTTTACAAGCTCTGAGGCAGATGCTGTCATTGTGTCCGTTTTATGAATGAGGAAACCGAAGCACAGAGAGGCTAAGTAACTTGCCCACGATCACTCAGCTATGTGGTGGAGCACCGTTTTCAACCCATATGGTCCAGCCTTGGAATCCATGGGTTTTTCCATTATATTTTGAGAGTTTCCTTATGAAAATGCAAGCAAATATAAAGATATCTATTTTTCTCCTCAGTGTTCCCCAAAAGGTAGCATGTTGTTCTCATAGCCCTGCCCTTTTGTTTTAGTCCATACGTCACACTACTTGTTGGAAATCATCCCCCATCAGGACAGAGAGCTTCCTCATTCTTTTGTACAATGTTTTGTGGTTTTGGTGAAAGACCCTGCCCTTCATGGTTCAAGCCGGAAGTAGAGCCCGGGCTGGATCTTTGCTCCTGTCCTGCCGGCCATCCTAGGAGTGACGGGCTGGCTGAATAAGCGTGTCTGCCAGCCAGGTCTCTTAACTGAGGAAGGCTATTAAGGCTCAGAATTGGAAATGAGAGAGGCCAGGGGGAAAAAAGGAAGAAAACTTGTTCATCCAGAAGCATTTCCAAAGAATACTAGATGTCACACACCAAAGAAATACCTAAGCAAAACAATGGTCCTGTGTTCCTGCAGAATCAGCAGCCGGAGGCCACCCTAATTAGTGGCCTTTCGGAAATCAGTTCCCTCCCCAAACGTGAGGCTGCACCGAGTTCCCACCTCCGCAGCCGTCTCGCAACAAGAATTGGCGAAATGGAAGTAACAGCACAGTTCTCAGGGGAGTCGAGAAGGAAAGAGGGGAGGTGGGGAGAGGATCCCCAGAAGATGCCCCAGCCTCACGACGGGTAGGGAGCAGACTAATCTCTCGGACTGGTTCCTACAGAACCGTCTCTGGGCAGTGGATCTCGGGCCATGGTTTTTCCCTGGCGCTTTCTCCCCATGCCTTCCTGGCCCTCATTCCTCCTCTGAGTTGTCTCTCCAGAACCTGCTGTCAGCTGATCGGCAGTAGGGACTGCCCCCCAGTGTCCAGCCGCACAAGGAATTTCCCCAAGACCAGTGCCCGTAAGGAAGATGACTTCAGTCGGAGTAAATTGATACTCTGTGATACACACCCGAGGTGCGGGAAGACCCGGGGTTAAAAAAAAGCTATTTTGGTTAGAAGGAAAAATTCATATTGACCGACCCAAATCCAAAAAGAGGAAGCAGGTATTAAGTTCATTTTGTAAAGTAAGAGTTCAAGTTAGGGGCAGGCTAGGCAAGGGGAATTTACCTTACAACCCTTTTGAGATATTTACCAAGGATAAGAATCGCATTTCATATTTAATTTTTTTTTTTTTATCCTCACCCGAGGACATTTTTTTTCCAATTTCTGTTCAGATAGAGTGGGAGGGGGAGAGGAAGAGAGAAAGAGAGAGAAAGATCGACATGAAAGGGACACATCGAGTGGCTGCCACCCACACAACCAACCAGAGTCGGGGACAAACTGCAACTGAGGTACGTGCCCTTAGTGGGAACCGAACCTGGGTCTCTCTGGACCTCAGGCCGAAGCTCTAACTGCTGAGCCAAACTGGCCAGGGTTTTATATTTAATTTTAAGGTACTTTTCATAACCATGGAAAGTATTTTCTTTAAAGCATATATATCTTTCCCTGGCCGGTTTGGCTCAGCGGTAGAGTGTCGGCCCTCGGACCAATGAGTCGCGGATTCGATTCCCGCCAAGGGCACGTACCTCGGTTGCGGTTCATCCCCGGCCCTGGTTGGGATCATGTGGGAGGCAGCCAGTTGATGTGTCTCTTTCACATTGATGTTTCTCTCTCTCCCTTTCTCTCCCTCCCACTCTGTCTGAAGATAAATGGAAGAATATCCTTAGGTGAGGATTAAAAATAATAAATAAAGCATATACATCTTTTTTCTCCTATTGTGTTCCTTTTATAAAAAAGAAAACATTTAATTTTCCAGATTCCATTCTGATAGAAGCGGAATCCTTTTTTATTTTTAAAATAACAAATTCAAGCCTTTTTTTTTTTTAAATCTTCACCCGAGGATATTTTTTCATCCATTTTCAGACAGAGTGGGAGGGAGGGAGAGAGAGAGAGAAACATCAATGTAGACACCTCGATCGGTTGCCTCACGCATGGGGACCAAACCACAACCAAGGTACCCATGCCCTTGGCTGGAATTGAACCCTCTACTCTCTGGTCCATGGGCCAACGTTCTAACCGCTGAGCCAAACCAACCAGGACTAGCCTGTGTTTCTTTTTATTTTTTTTCCTTTATTGATTTTAGAGAGAGAGGAAGGGAGAGATAGAAACATCGATGAGAGAGAACATTTATTGGCTGCCTCCTGCATGCCCCCCACTGGGGATCGGGCCCACAACCTGGGCATGTGCCCTGACCGGGAATCGAACTGGTGACCTCTTGGTACATGGGTCGATGCTCAACTACTGAGCCACACTGACCGAGCTTGCCTGCTTTCCTTTAAAAGATGCAGTCCAGCCAGTGTGGCTCAGTGGTTGAGCGTCGACCCATGTACCAAGAGGTCGCTGGTTCGATTCCCAGTCAGGACACGTACCCAGGTTGTGGGCCCGATCCCCAGTGGGAGGCATGCAGTAGGCAGCCCATCTATGTTCTCTCTCATCGATGTTTCTATCTCTCTTTCCCTCTCCCCTCCTCTCTCTCTAAAATCAATAAAGGAAAAAAACATTTTTTAAAAAATAAAAGGTGCTTACTAATTTTGTTTGCTTATCACTGAGGATGGGCTAATGGCCACTTAAATCATATCTTGTTTGTTGCTCAGATATCGTTGTACAGTTGTGTTTAAAATAATCCACGTTGCTGAAGATAAAAGCAGAATTTTATCTCTGAAAGGGCTTTAGTGCACAAACTGTGCTCTCCGGCCTGCCAGACTCAGCGCTACTCATATTAGGGTCTTTGAGTGGCCTTAAGTGACCTACGGTCCTGTCAGGAGTCGGGGAAACGCAGGTGAGAGCTGACCCAGACCCCCGCCCGTGGTAAGCACTGACAAAGGCTGATTGTTTAGTATGATGTATACAGTGGGTGTGGTTTCACTCCCTCCGCTTACTTCAGAGATGTCCATTGACGACCAGAGATTGCATGTTTGTGGAAGGCTGTGCAAAGATTTTGTAACGTTCTCAAAGGACACTGTCAGTAAGGGTCACCGACAGGGCAGCAATAAGGAAGTAAGTCCTACCCCTTCCCACTTGGCACATCCTAGAATAGTGCAGAAAGTCAGTTTGCTGATACTCGATCCTCTGAGATTTTTCTGGAGGCGTGGAAGGGGAGACAGCTGCACGGGAGTGCCTGCTTCCCGAGCCCCCTGTCTGGTTTGACAGTCACGGATGGCTCCCTTTTCCAGGAGAGGAACCCAATGCTCAGCAAAGGGCAGAGACTCCCTGGCCCAGGTCAGACGGGTGGAGGGATGCAGACCTCCGTCTGACCCCAGGTCCAGTGCTCTTTTGGGGCTGCCTCTCGGGGAAGAAAAGTGTGAAAAGGACCTGGCATCCCCTGTAAACAGGCGACAGGCAAAGGGAGGGAGAAGTGAGGAGAACAGACTCAGGAGACTTCTCTTTTAAATATAAAACGATCCTGAAGAAATCAGGCCTTAGGAAGTGGAGGGTAGAGTCGTGCTGAAGCTGAACAGGAGCAGTAAGGAGACTGAAGGTCCCACGTACAGAGCGAACCTGTAATCTGGACCAAGGGAGGAGGGACGAGGGGAAAGGCCAGGTCCTTGCAGACACTCTGATGAACCCCAGCAGATAAGATCTGATGACAGCTCGGGGTGAAGCGCCCTTGGACCCACAGCTGCTGGGTAACAAGCTTCTCTTTCACTTTCCTTTCCCAACTTTTGACAAGAGCTTGGGCAGAATGGTGGACGGGTCTTTCGAACAAATCTTCAAGGGCATTGGGCTCTAGAACACTGACAGGGAAGCCTCATGGTCCCACTCTGCCGATCACTGCCTGGGTGACCTTGGACCTGGGGGCTTCTGTTTTCATATCTGAAAAATGGTGGAATAAGACTCTACTCATTCATTCGGGTAACACATTTTTTAAACCCTAATTCCCCTGACTAGAACCTCTGGTACAGTATTTAATAGAAGTGGCAAGAGTGGACATGTGTGACTTGTTCCTGATCTTGGGTGGGAAAACACTCAGTCTTCCATCATTAAGGATGATGCTGTGGGTTTTTCACAGATGCCCTTCTCAAGTTGAGTTAGTTCCATCGTCATCCTAATTTACTTAGCACTTTTATCGTAACAGGGTGTTGGACTTTGTCAAATGCTTTTTCTGTATCAACCAAGTTGCTCGTATGGTTTTTGTCCTTTATCAATAGGATGGATTGCATTTATTGATTTTTGGAGGTTAAACCAACCTTGTATTCCTGGGATCGGTCACACTTGGTTACGGTGTATAATCCCATTTATAGATTGCTGGATTGGACTTGCTAATATTTTGTTAAAGATCTTTTGCACCTATATTCATAAGGGATATTGTCCTGTAGTTTAGAACAAATATTTATTGAGCATCTTAGGTGCCAGGCATTGTTCTAGGTATTAGGGATTCAGCAATTTTTCAGAACAGGTAAAAGTCTCTTCTTTCATGGAACTTACTTTCGGGTAGGTGACTAGCAAAGCTGTTTTCCACTCACATTTGACAGTTTTTTCCTCTGTCCTCTCAGTGATACCCCTGTTCCAGCCTCAGTGCTTATGTGCTAGACTTTCGGAAAACTGGACATCAATGTCTGGAGATTGGAAGGGGCCTGTCAAACCTCAGAAAAGGAGGTGGGAGGGAGGGGAGAGATAAACCACAGAACTTATATGCGTGTATGCATAACCAATAGACATAGACAACAGTGGGGACAGGGCGGGGGGGTGTCAGGAGGAGGGTGTCAGTGGGGGGGGAGGAGACATCTGTAACAAAAGTAATTAAAAAATAAATAAATAAATTGCTGTTCCTTTTTACCCCCATATAATGTAAATGTTCATTGACTTACAAAATTCACGTAGAAAGGGCACTAATGAATCTGCACTAACTGATACGCCCATGGACCCAGCACTCATGTGAAGAACAAACTATGACCAGCATCTGAGAAAGTCCTTATGCCCCTTCCAGTTCCTAACCCGCCCACCAGCGGGAAACAGCCTCCCAGCTTCTAATACCAGGTGTTACTGGTTTCCTGCACTTTATAGAAAATGGAGTCATACCCTAGGCACCCTTTTACATCATGGTTCTTTCACTCGTCGTATTTGTGCGGTTCATTCACGCGGCTTCACGCTGTCATGGTTTGTTTGTTCATTCTCACCGTTGTCTGGCGTTGCCTCCTGTGAACATCCAGCAGTCCATCCATTCCACTGTGACTGGACACTGGGGCTCCTTCCTGTTCGGGGCTGTTACTACCCATGCTGTGGTCACGTACACATCTCTCTTGGTAAACATGTTTGCTCACTTTGGAGCACATGCCCAGGAGTATAACTGCTCTGTCATAGGACATGTGTCAGTTCAGTTTTTGCGGAATCCTGCCACTCGTCCGCCATGGATGTACAAAGTGGGCTCTCACCAGCAAGTGTGACAATTGCAGGTGCTGCACAGGTCCCCGGCACATCGCAGCCATTCTGGTATCGCACTGAGATTTTAATTTGCATTTCTCTGGCCTCTAATGAAATAAAGATGCATGTTCCTTTTAAATGGGATGATTAGCCCTGGCCAGTTTGGCTCAGTGGTGAAAGCATCGGCCAGAGGACCTAAGAGTCACAGGTTTGATTCCCGGTCAGGGCACATGCTCCATCCCCAGTAGGGGGCGTGCAGGAAGCAACTAATCGATGTGTCTCTCTCACATCGATGTTTCTCTCTCTCTCCTTCCCCCTCCCTCCCTTCCACTCCACCTGTAAATTAATGGGAAAATATCCTTGGGTGAGGATTAACAACAAAATAAAATGTGACGATTGCACAGAGCCGCCTGTTCACCCCAGGCCTTTCTGTCAGCCACTGCAGCGTTCTCGGGCACCCCTTTCACGCTGGTAGTGGAAACGAGAGACCATAGTGCCCAGACTCCTTCCACAGCCTCTCACTGGCTTTCTGTTTCCCCAGTAAGAAGAGAGGTGGCTCCAGGAAATCCTTCAAGAGCACCAAGGACCCCGAGCCTACGTATAGGTATGACATGAACTACGAGAAGGTGGGCAGGTGCATCATCATCAACAACAAGAACTTCGATGACTCGACAAGTAGGTGATATGGACACGGGCTAACCCTCCTGTTCCCTTCCGGTTTCTTCAGACATTCCTCAGAGAAGGCTGTGCCCGTCGCCTGTGGCCGACAGCCCCTTCGTAGATGGTGTTTGCATGTCCAGGAGAAGGGGGTGCAGAGAAATCAGGGACTCTTAGTCCAGCAGCCCGCTGTGCATGCTCACGAGCTGAGAAGCGAGGGGAGCCGTTTGGCCTTGACTGCAGCTGGGCACTGCGGCTCGGCTGCACGTGGCACCCGCCGGGGGTGCCAGCCACCGCGCTCAGCCGGGGGCTGCTCATCCTGAGCTGCTGCTTGATTCCCACAGGGATGAGTGTCCGGAACGGAACCGACAGAGATGCCGAGTCCCTTTGCAAGAGCTTCAGAGCCCTCGGTTTCAGTGTGACCGTGTATAATGACTGCTCCTGTGCCAGTATGCAGGATTTGCTGAGACAAGGTGCATGTCTGCGCTCTCCCTCCGCCCTCCCCCTCTGTCCTCTTCCCGCTTCCTCCTCCTGTCCCCGAGAGAGGGGTGGGGGCCCAGCTGGGGGGAGCAATGCTTTTCAGGACACAGGGATTTCAGTCTGGGAAGCCTTCCCTCCCTCTGGGCCACCCCATACCTGACTTCGGGGTAGGCGGGTCTTTCAGGAAACGTAGATCTCTCCCTACAAAGATGAAATCGGGGCGTATGGCAGCAGGAAACATGGCCTCTGTCTCCACAGGACAGTTTCAAAAGGCTGATTCCTGGGGTAGAAACAAAGGGATAGCATTCTGCTTTCCACACGGTTGCAGAGTAAGCTTTCCCCTCATGGACGATGAAGAAGAATAACGCCATACACCTCAAAACAACGTCATCCTCTGCCCCGCCCCTCCCCCAGCCCCTGGAAACCACCATTCTGCTTTCTGCCTCTCTGAACTTGACTCTAAGGCACCTCCTAAGTGGAATTATCAAGTATTTGTTAGACTGGATTATTTCACTTAGCATGATGTTTTACTTTAACAAATACTTGCACAACACTTATTAGGTGGCATGCCTTACAAATACTAACTCATTTACTCATATCCATTTTATAGACAAGGAAACCAAGGCACAGAATGGCAAAGGAACTTGCCCTGTGTCACTGACCTTATAAACAGCAGGGCCACCCCCTTCAGCACCCCAAAATGCTGCCTCCCAGCAGCTGCCTGAACCCTCCCACACATGGGGCTCACTTCCTCACGGGACAGCTGCATTCTGGTGTCAGACCGAGTGAGAATTCTGGAACTCTTTAACTTCCCTTCGCTGGTGCCCCTTTTCTCCGGAGGGGTGCTCCTGCCCCTGAACAGCGCTCTCAGATCGGGGCAGCTGCCAGCTGGGAGGGCGTGCCACCTCTGAGGTCCTGCGGGGCTTGGGTTTTAACGTCTCGATGTTCACACTGCTTGCTGCAGCCTCCGAGGAGGACCACAGGAACTCCGCCTGCTTCGCCTGCGTCTTACTGAGCCACGGAGAAGAAAACTTAATTTACGGAACGGACGGCTTGATGGCAATCAAGGACTTGACGGTCCATTTCCGGGGGGACAGATGCAAAACCCTGTTGGAGAAACCCAAACTCTTCTTCATCCAGGTAATTCCTGTTCAAAGCCAGCCCCACTGAGAACGGGAAGAGGCTGCGGCATGACGTGGATTGTACCCTCTTGACAAATCTGCGTGCTTTTTCGATTGAGGATGCCAATTTGGGTTTTGTTTTCCTGCCTCTAAACGCTTGGCTTCTGTGTTTGCTCCGGGTCACAGGCCGTGAGGGTCTCTTTAAGGCATTGCAATGCTTCTGTTTGCTTCGCTGACTAAAGCAGTTCGACGTTCATTTAGTCATTCATCAGACGATCACTGAGCTCCGAGCTCCTGGTACGTGCCAAGCACAGTTCTAGGCACAGGGACACAGCAGTGAACGGCACACGTGTCTGTTCCCAGCCTTAGGGAGTGGTCTCTGCTTTGCTCCTTAGGCGTGCCGGGGCACAGAGCTGGATGACGGGATCCAGGCCGACTCGGGGTCCATCAATGACACAGATGCCAGCCCTCGAGCGAAGATCCCAGTGGAAGCCGACTTTCTCTTCGCCTATTCCACAGTTCCAGGTACCAGGCCCACTGTCTGCTGACGGCCGTGCCATTCCACCATCAGAGTGCAGCCCGGGCGGTGTTAGGTCCCCATTGCCACGAGATCAGTGACCGCAGACAGAGCGGCTTGGCACATACCACATGTATGACCTGACGGTTCTGAAGGTCAGAATTCCAGGACGGGTTGACAGGGCTGCATCCCGTCTGGAGGCTGTAGGGGTTAAAATCCATCCCTTGCTTTTTCCAGCATGTTGGAACCTCCCGCATGCCTTGGCTCGTGGCCCCCTTCCTCCAGCTTCAAAGTCCACAACCTCACGTCCCTCTGACCCTCTTCCTCCTTGTTCACTCTCTGACCACAGCTGGGAAAAGTCCTCCTCTTTTAAGGACTCCTGTGATTAGATCTGGCCCACTTGGATAATTCAGGATAATCTCCCCATTCATTTCCTGAACCATAATCCCATCAGCCAAGTCCTTTTTGTCACGTCAGGTAATATAGTTCCAGGTTCCCAGGTGAGAGCGTGGGCATCCCTGGGGGCCATTGTTCTGCTTACCACGGGGATCTGTTCACTTTTCTCTCCCAGAAAGCAGAATTCTCTCATTACTACTGTTATCATTGGTATTTATAAGAACAAACGTTTCTCCAGCACTTTAAATATACAGTGTTTTTCATGTCTTTTACCACATACCGGCCTTATAATAACTGTGTAGGTCGTTAAGAAAGGTATTATTACTGTCCTGATTGTATAGATGAAAGAAAATGAGCTTGGGTGGGCTTAAGTGATATGCTGGAAGTCACAGAGTCATTTCAGGACACAAAGAGCTACAGCTCAGAGCAGGATTCTTTTGCACGCTGTAAACAGGCACCAGGAAGTGCCAGGGACGAGGTGGCCTGCCCTGTGTTTGCCTGAGTCAGTTCAGTGAAAGGCCTGCCTTTGTCTGGGGTCAGAACCATCACTGAGTCAGATCCGCCCACCTGAAGTGTAGTCTGTGAGTGCGTGACACAAAGCTCTTGGGTATAGCAGCTAGTTCAGTGTTCGGAAGACCAGCCCTGGCAGGATCTACAGGGATTCTGTGAGAACGATAACTTCACCAGTTTTAAGGCTTAAGAAAATAACTTGGGTCTTCCTGCCCTTGAGAAGGAGCTGTTGTAATGGGAGCATTCTTCTGCCAGCAGACGCGGTAGTTGGGTTGTAGGTGCTCTGAGCAGGGTCTGGGGGAGGTCAAGGGAGAAGCGTGAACCCTCAGGAGGCAGGTGAGAGAGGCTTCCCTGAATAACACCTGTTGTAACTGAGTCTACAAGCAAGGGAAAGAGAAGGGTGGCTTAGCAGACAAGGGCTGAGGGGACACTGGTGACACTTGTGGGACGGGAGCACAGGGGGCTTAACCCATGGAAACACTTCTCGCAGTTCTGAGGGCTGGGAGATTCCCGGTCAAGGCACTGGCCAATTTGGCTTGTGATGAGGACTCTGACTGGCTTGTATACAGCGCCGCCTCACTGTGTCCTCGCGTGGCAGAGAGGTTGAGAAGAGATTACCGCCCAGGGTGCAGGGTGTTGGCGGGTTCAAACCTGGACAGGTAGACAGGGAGCCCCATCGTGGTGCTGAGCAGCCTGCACTTGTCTGTGAAATCGTCAGGAGAACGGTTTCAGGTAGGACAGTCACGGGATGAGACTGGGTATTAGTGATCTCAGAGACCACATAGGGCAGGTTAGAGGATCCACCCCCCGGGCAGTGATGAAATGGTGGTAGCGTGCACCCAGCTTCACCAGGTTCCTGCATGGATTGAGACAGCTCAGGTGACACCCCCCACAAATGAAACGCGTTGTCATGCTGCTGACGCTGTGGAGCCCAAGTCCACGTGCTGGTGGTCGCCAGTAACGTGAGCTGCAGGCAAGAATTCCGAGTGCACCCCAGTCACCCTGCACAAATGGGTTATTTCTGTTTGTTTTACATTTACTCAGTAACTGACTATTATAAATGATCATGATGATGGCCCAGTTCTCATCACATCTCAGTTTTCTGAGGTCCCCTGCCTGGATTGGGAAGTAGGACTCACCGCACAGGGTTACGGAGCAGCCCTCCAGCAGTTCCCTGGGAAGGCTCCGAGTTCCACTTGTCTCGCGCTCCCTCGGGTATCTGACAGGTGTCCAGGCTGAGACACCAGCTCACGTGGTGAGCATCTTCATCCTCACGCAGCCCTGTGCATCGAAGGTGTTTGCACTGTAAGCTCATCAGCGTGATTCTCATTCAGGACTTGCACGCAGCATAGAGTGAGATAATTTCAGAAAGGCATGCGTGACAGCCCCGAGCACTGTGCTCACTCTGGGTGGTGAGTGGGCCCACGGCCAGCTCAGCTGACCCAGTCTTTCCTCTCCTGTCGAAGGCTACTACTCGTGGAGGAACCCTGGAAGCGGCTCCTGGTTCGTGCAGGCCCTCTGCTCCACCCTGAACGAGTACGGGAAGAGCCTGGACATCTTGCAGATCCTCACGAGGGTGAACTACAGGGTGGCCAGGCACTTCGAGTCCCAGTCCGATGACCCGCGCTTCCACGAGAAGAAACAGATCCCATGCGTGGTGTCCATGCTCACCAAGGAGCTCTACTTCTCAAAGTGACCGTCCAGGGGTGCCACGTGGCCGAAAAGCAACGGATCGTTTACTGATGAATCAGATTCTTTCTTTCTTAATGCTCTTGAAATATCCGTAAATTCGAAAGGGTTTTTAGTTCAGGAAAATTTGTTGATTCAACAGGGAAAAAACTTTCTGGTGCTCTTTTATGTCTTCGGAATTTTCGGTGTTACCTATTGGATGATTTTGTCATTTCCTCTTACGGTTCTCTTTGGTTTGTGTTTCTCTTCTTGTCGCACATTGTCCATACAACAAAAACGACCTCTGCGGATGACTCTCAGCTGTGTGCACTGTGACTAAGGGTGACAGTGGGGAGGCAGAGTCATGTTGGTACCAGGCAAGGAGAGTCCCAGTGCTTGACAAAACGTCCAGGGGCGGGCCACCCCCTGTATTGCAGGGAGGGTCTAGATTGGGCCTAGAGTGTGGTTTGAGTGATTTTCCAGTGACCCAGGGCAGATTCCTATGCAGAAATTCCCAGGTAAGCTAAAGGAGAAAACAGTTAAATGATTCTATTTTGCATGTCAGGATCCAATCAGGAAAACAAACTATTCTAGGTGTTTCAACAGAGGGGATTGAAGAGAGGAAGTTGACTTGCGTAGATGATAGAAAGAGAAGCCAAAGGAAAGGCAGCTGTTCCACCGAGAGCTGTGAGGCAGTGTGGCTGCCGGACGGAGTCCAGAAGCCGGGATCGTCCACGGAGCTGGAGCCGCCCTGTGGGGCTGCCTGGTGGGAGCGAGGACCATGCAGGAGAGAAGTTACAGGGAATGGAGCCATGGCAGGGACAGCCACTGCTGAGATGGGGCAACACCAGGCGAATCAGACGTGAGAAGTATGTGACTTCACCTCTGCTGCCCTCCAGTCTTAGTCCAGCACCTTCCGCTTCCAGCCTCACCTGGAAGCCAGTGGACAAGGGCACTAGGAAGTGTGTTTCCCTGCAATACAGCAGAGCCAGGGATAGTGAATGGGGCTGGGGAGGAGCAAGAAGTGAGTATACGCCTGTGCATAATGTGAACAGAAGTAACTTACTCCCTGATGTTCAGCGATTCCTCCATTCAGCCCTATATTCATTCCGTTGTCAGACTATCTATCGCCCGCTATGTGCAAAATAATGTTTTAGCTTGAATAGATACTTGAAACTTTTTAGATTATTCCAAGCCCCATTCCAAGTAAGCTTTTGTTATCTCTGATTCTCTTAAGTGGGGGGAAATGTAGGGCAAAGGTTTTCACACTTTGTTTTCCAGCTGGTGGTATCTTTTAAATTCTTGACAAGTTTCTACTTTGTTCTGCCTAATAACTGGCTAAAAAAAATGTTCATATTTATTGATTAAAATGTGATTGCTGTATTTCTAACCTGCTCAGTTGTCTTTCCTTTTCAAGTGTTTTGTGGCCCTGGGAAAATGAGGAAACAGGAAAAGAATGGGCCCCACCGACTCGACCTCACAGATCGAATTCACGTTTCTTTTGAAGCTAGAACGCGCATAAAAGAGCAAGTAGTCACTTAGGAATCACTGAAACCCCTCACATAAAGGGGTGAACAACTTCTGAAACTTCTGTGACGGGCTGCCATTTGTTAATTTGGCAACACAGCAGATGGTGTAAAACTGTCTTCTTTCAATAAGAAATGAATTTAGGGTCAGTTTATGAGACTTGTCCCTGGTTTCCTGCCATCGAAAATATACCAAATGTTCACAATTTAAGTGGAGATCATGAATCAAGAATCAACAGGCATCTAGCCTGCAGTCTCCAGAATTCACAGGCTGGTCGCTGGAAAATAGACTCTCATTCCCTATTATAGAAATAAATGCGCCTATGTACATTGTCATTTGAAGTAAAAAAATCTAGCACTCTAGTTGTTTGTTTTGGAAGCTTTATTAGAGAGAGAAATGGTCTCATGTTTAAAAAAAGTTAATTTTCTAAAATTCTTTGAGCAGTTATTAAGTTTATAAATAATGAGTAATACCTCATGCCTCTTTGATCAGAGATATAAATCACTATTAAGAAATAGCCTTTGGGTCCTGGCCGGTTTGGCTCAGTGGTTAGAGCATAGGCCCACAGAACAGAGTCATGGGTTTAATTCTGTCCAAGGGCACGTACCTCGGTTGCGGTTCATCCCCAGCCCTGCAGTGTTGTGCCGGAGGCAACCAGTTGATATGTCTGTCTCTCTCACATCGATGTTTCTCTCTCTTTCTCCCCCCCTCCCACTCTATCTCGGGATGAATGGGAAAATAACCTTGGGTGAGAATTAAAAAAAGAAACAGCTTTTGGCCCTGGCCAGTGTAGCTTGGTTGGAGTGTCTTCTGTACACTGAAAGGTCACAGGTTTGATTCCCAGTCAAGGGCATATACTTAGGGTGTTGTAGGTTTAAGTCCCCAATTGGGGCTCATAAGAGAGGCAACCAATCAATGTTTCTCTCTCTCTCTCTCTCTCTCTCTCTCTCTCTCTCTCCCCCCCCCCTCCCTCCCTCCCTCCACCTTCCTTCCTTTAAGATCAATTAAAAAAATTTCCCACCCAGTGTGGCTCAGTGGTTGAGCATTGATCCATGCACCAAGAGGTCACCAGTTCAATCCCTGGTCAGGGCACATGCCTGGGTTGTGGGCCCGATCCCCAGTAGGGGTGTGCAGGAGGCGACCAGTCAATGTTCTCTCTCATCGATGTTTCTGTCTCTCCCTCTCCCTCTCTTTTTCTCTAAAATCAGTAAAGAAAAAAATTTTGAAGAAAAAAAAAAGAACATTAAAAAAAATTGTGTGTGTGTGTGTATCCCCTCAGTTGAGGATTTAAAAAAAAAAAAAAGGCTTTGTCCTTGACGACTTCATCAGGCAGACACTTGTCCATCAAGACTACAGACCCTATTCCAAGATGGGCGTGTGTTCAGTCATCTCCATTCTTACACTTTCTGATCTTTCATTACCGGAAATTCAATGGCAAGTTGCCGTGAAGCAGGGCCCCGTCCTGGTGAGTGCACGGTCCTAGTTCTTACTTAGGACCCAAGCTCCCCTTGCAAGAGAGGTGGGCAGAGCGTTGTTATGAGGAAGACAGTGCAATTCTGTGGTCACACAATCAGCTCCAATCTGGGGGTCCCTTTGTTTTTCTCAGGGTGCCACTAACCTACTTCAAGTGTCAGCTTCAGGCTCTGCCCGGAGCCTTTTCTCCGAGCAAGTTTCCGTAAACCATCATAAGCCCATTATGTTTATAAATTGCCCAAAATAGTTCCCAAAATGTGCTAAGGTGACCCCTGGCTGACAGGGCACAGACACTGGCGGACACAGATCCTTTACTCTGTCCAGTCTGGCCGCGGGTCACCTGAAATCTTTTGTTCGGCTTCTCTGGCTACCAAGAATCGCCTCTTGACATCCTTCTGTCTAGCTTTGCATCCTGCAGGCTTTCTTCCGGCCAGCGTCTGGCCAGGTGAAAAGCTGTGGTGGTCACCCGTTGAAAGCCTCAAGTCATCGGTATCACTAGGCAGGAGCCCAGGTGTCACTAATTTCTGAAGGAATGTGATCCTTATCAGATCTTCAGAGATGTGAGATCAGAGGGTTCTTCTACCCTGTTTGTCTTGTAACTATTTCAGTGACTTCAACAGCATGTGTGTGCAGTGACATTAGCATCCTGGCAGCTTGGCCCCGCCCCGGATAGATCAAGAATCTGCACCCGTGTGCACATCCCGGTTTGAGAAGCTCAGTTCTGAGGGCAAGGATCACTTGTTTACACATTTTTGCTTCCCCTCAGCTGATGAAGTTTATACCTAAAAAGGATTAGTGAAAGAACATACGTATTTTGGAGCGTTCACAGAAGATATGTTTTCAAGCATCTCTTAACCTTCAGCAAATCCTCTTGTAAAAGTACACGATGCCCTTCGTTCCCATGGTACACTTTCTACGCCCGTCTCCGTTTTAAACGAGCCTTCTGCTGGATGATGCAATAGGATTGTTTATATGTTCTCAACGTGTCTGCGAATGGGAATCGCAGCCTTTAAAATGTCTTCATAAACAGAACGGGATTAAGGGAGCCATTCCTTGCGTGTTTCCATTGGCTGTTGTGCATTGAGGTCACAGAGTCTGTCTCTTCCCGCCTGTCCTTGGACCATAGACATCAAGAGACTCACAATCTCCCTGCCAGCAAGCCCTCAGGCCACAGATCGCCCTTCTGATAGACCTCAGGGCGTTGTTTGGGGTCAGCGACAAATCATTCTTTTTGATTTGGGCATCATTCACACCAACACACCGAGAACACATTTGGAAGGCCCCAGCCACCGCTACGGTACTGATGTGGCCATGGAGATTCCTCCATCCGCTTATGGGTTCGTGCGTGAACAGTCCTCTGAAAGTACGTGATCGACAGAAATGACGAGTTGCCTTTGGCGTGACTTTCGGTTTATGTGGCACTATAAATATTTACGGTGCTACAATTTTCAAATATGTTTTGTTTAAAGTATATAAAGCCAATCTAGGCCAAAGAATTTAAATTTGGAAGGCACGTGGGGTTATGGCTGCAGATACATGCACAGGGCTGAGCATTTCTTGAGCTTTGATGGTCCGATCCAGGTGGAGGGCCTGAGGTTCAGGAAGGATTTGGGAAAAGGGGAAGTAAGTGTAAACTGATCGGTAGGTTTGGTCTGCATCGCTAGTTTCAGCCTAAGTTAAGGCATATCTCAAGCAGCATCAGACTTGTACCTCAGGATCTAGGCTCTGAGTCCCATCTGAGTCCTAGCCCTGTCATCTGACCATTTAATACCACGTAACCTTAGGTAATCCTTCCGTTTCCCTATCAACACATGACATTAGTAATGTTGTAAAGCTTAAATGAGATTTATGTATGTGAAGTGCTTAGCACAGTGCCTAGCAGAAAACACTCAACATGTAGGTATCAAAGATGATGATGATAGTTATAAGATGATGATGATGATGATGATAAGATCATAAGACGACATGAAGCTTATGGAAAGGGCAAGAATAGAGGATACTCCCCTGGACCCTCCACTCACTCACTCTGCTTCCAAAGCGGTTTTCTTGACCATGTCTCCTAGTCTGTGCCATTCAGAGTGAGGTCACTCAGAAGTGCAGGGATTATACCAAAGACTGACGTATGCAGCAAGCATTTAAAGAGTCCTACTAAATGCCACCTGTTGTGTTAGGGGTGGGGCTAACAAGATGACGGAGAAATGATGCTTTCCCCAGAGGAGGTAAACACATCCTCCAGGAAGACAGTGCCTGTAACAGAGTTGTGTGTGCGTTACTCTAGAATACAGGTAAGGGAGTATCCCTCTGCTTGGGGATTCAGAGAGGGGTTCCCCGAACACATTTCTAATCCTTTTCTACTTCAGCCTCCTGACAAGCCTGATAAGAGGCAACAGAGAAGGGGGAATGAAGGTCAACAGGTAGAAGTTGGTTCCTTGACTCTAGTGATTCTCAAGCTTGAGGGTGCCTGAGAATCCTGGAGGATCTGTTTAGGAAGCAGAACCCTGCCCCCCATCTCACCCCCACTGTAGTTCAGTATTTCTGGAGTGGAGACCGGGATCTGCACATTTCTCACAGCTCTGGAGTCCAGGAAGTCCAAGGTCAGGGCGTTGGCAGATTCAGTCTCCTGAGAGTCTGCTTTCTGGTCGACAGACTTTACCTCTTTGCTGTGTCCACACATGGAAGGGGTGAGGGAGCTCTAGGGGGGGTCTTTTTTTATGAGGGTACCAGTCCCATTCACGAGAGCTCCACCCTCATGACCTCATCATCTCCCACAGGCCCCACTTCCAAATAACCACCACTTTGGGGGTTAGATTTCAACATGTGAACTTTTGGGGGGGACACATTCAGCCCACAATATTCAACTAGCAATCCTACCTTCACTTTGAATGGCAGTGGATTCAAGGCACAAATGTGCTCAGAACGAGAGAACTCTTGCCCGGGAACTTTAGGCTGAACAACTTCACGCCCAGGCAGCATTTGAGGAAGCCAGTGAAGTGTGTGTGTGGGGGGGGGCGGGGGGGGCAGACCAGCAGACAGCTTGCCGAGCATGGGCGCAGGTGCTCTGGCTTCTCCAGCTGGTGTCAGCAGGTGCACTGCTTTGATTATCCTCTCCAATCACTTAGGCAATCATCTCTAGACAAGAAGGGCCGCTCCTGATTTTCCTGTCCTCCAGAACAATGCAAGAGGCTCCCTTGAACAACATTTCTGACATTTTTGAAAGAACCTTTCTCTGCCAACAGCTTTTATAATTAATACCAACTAGATGACTGTTAAGTAGGGAAGGAAAAAATAATTCTCAAGCGAAGGAGTTTTTTACTAGTGTATAGGACCAACTCTTAAAAGCTTAGGAACATCAGCTCTAGCAAATTATCTTTTCTG